CAAAATGGCACAACATAAATGTGGGAGCTAGAAGGAGTAGAGCTTAGAACAATCACCACATCTTCCAGACTGATCTGCATGACAGATCTTTCAGATAAACACCTAAGTTTGAACCAAATACCTGCCATCCCAAACATACCACACCAGTATTATTTGCTGCCCTGCTTATTCCAGGGATTTAAAATACCTGCTGTAACAAATGAAATAACTGCAAAAGACTTGGAGGGCATGCAGATGAGGTTCATATTATTATTATTATTGGCCATTTCTAAAATGACAATCATGTGCCTTATGTAAATTTAGAGGGACATCAAATCCTTCCACGAACAGACTCCGAATTACCATACCCAGAGGCGAGTGAAGCATTTTCACTGGTGTTAAGTACCTGTGAAGAAAGCCTCTGTCAAGCCTGGCTAATACTGATAATCGGTGATTTGAAGGAACTGCATACTTTGTGTGTGCATGCATGTATCTAATTTCTTCTGTCTGCATGCTGTGCTATTCATGACTGAAGCTGAAAATGTCTTTCCGTTGACAAAATCTTTAGCAGAAGACTTCAGGAGATTATCAAACCAAAACCAAACTTATCTTCTATTATGGAACATACTATTTGAGCAGAATTATCAAGGTTTATTGAGTTTCCTGCACCAGAGCAGTATAGAAAAAACTTAATTTGTTCTGAATTGACTGTCTCTGAGCCTCCAGAAATAGCAAGTGCTTACTCTCTATTTCAAAAATTTGAGTTGTCTCCTAATGACCAAGATCTGTAGGGTCTCCATCATTTTAAATTCCATCAAGTCACCAAATGCCTACTTCGCTCTATGCATGAGGGGAAGCAATTTAATTTGAAACTATAGATGTTAGGGAATTCTGCTGCTTTGATTTTCCTGTTTAAGCCATCCTTACACTGACACAAAACATGATGTTATTTTTATTCTTGTGGTCCCAGTAGCTATCTTGCAGAGGTAGGCCAGCTATGATGATTAGTAAATCAGCAGTCAGCAATGCCCTGTCCAGATCAGTTTTCCTCTTTGTAAGGAGAGAGGAAACAGTGTTATGTTGCTAGTCAGGATCAAAATGTAATTAGGAAAGAGGAGGAAAATGCACTTGATCACCAGAAGCAGAAACAAATGTAGATCGTTGATGAAGAATTTGCCTTCCCGAGTTCCTCTCTGGTTTTAAAATGCAGAAGGGGCTGTTTCACAGCCACCTCAGTTAGAATCCAGACAACGCGTATTAAATGCAGTAGCTTTGATGCACTGCAAAAAACCTCAGAACCTGCCTACAATAAGGAGCAGGGCTGAGTTTATCCACTCCCTGCAGTCAGAGCAAAACGTATGCTTAGTGCCATGATGTTAGTTAGAAGGGTTGCTGAGTTGAGTTTAGCACTCTCAGTGCATTTATGCCATCAAGCTGGAGATAAAATGCTCCATTTGAGCCTGTTTTCTGGACAAAAGGTCAGCCTTATCCCTCTGCACAATGCTAGTGTTTAAATAATGACAAATAAGCAGAACTGAGGCTAATTTACATTCTCTGTTGAAAGAAACTGGAAATACTGCACTAACACTACAGCATGCCTGAGACTGCATCATCGGTGTTTTACGGCAAGGGTGTGCTCTCACCTGTCAGTTGCTCCTTTGGATAAAGGAATGGTCAACAATTTGCTGGTTATGGAGATGTGCCCAAGAACTCTTTAGGGGAGATCTGACTGCACCATGCAGTGAACAGAAGCTTTCAGATGTTCAGATATTGAGGAACAGTCTCATAGCCAGCTCCCAGACCTATGCTCTCTTGCATCTTCTCTGGTCTTGCTTGTGTCAAACATCGGGGAAAGAGCAGGGTGCCAGATGCCTCTGAGATGAATTTCTGGTTGGAGAGGCTACACCTCTGAGGTCCTGCAAAGGAATTCTCAGGCTGACAGGAGAGCTGATGGCCTTTGACATGTTGCTTCACTTCTGATTTGGCATGTGAGCATGCTTATGAGTGAGAGAAACAGATAGCTGGGAAGAGCTGGGGTCACCTCATAGTTCTGTTACTCATCTCCTGGAACTGGGCTCTGGCTGCTGTGAGATGTAAGGCATGCCGCAGCCCTCACGCAGATACTGTAAGGGGAGTCCTACGGGCTTGCTGAATTCTTGGGATAACTGCAGAGAGCTCTGCACCTCGTGCTACAGATCACGCTGCCTGTCCTCTGTGAGAATGGGACAGCATAGCTTTGTGGCCTGCCAGGCTGAGGCTGTGTTCTCTCTCTCAAGTTTCATGTGCCTCCCTACTCCATTTATGTAGCCTTTACTTGCCCTTCTCAAGGTCTAATTTCACTCCCTCGATGCGGCAGAGTTGGAAGCGTTGCAGGGGAGATGTTGTGTGCCAAGGCCTGTGATCCACAGGAGCAGCGAGGGGAGCAGCAGCCCGTGCCCACACCCAGTGGGGATGGTGTTCGGCACCTTCGGCACTCCCAGACTGAAAGGGGGCTCTGGGTTGAGAGGCTCCACCTTTTGCAGGCCAGTCTCACTATTTGAAAGATGAATAAAATGTAACTTCTATGTGTTGTCGTCTGCGTGTCAGGCACATCTCCTGCCCTTTGCTGTCTGCTGGAATTAGCTTAGTGGGTGAGCTCAGAGGATCAGTCCCTTTAGGAAGCCTGAAGAGAGCACCCAGCTGCTCTGGAGGCTTTTTTAGAGAGAACAGAAAATCCCATGCACAGCAGACACAGCATTCTTAATTTTGGTTCTCTTCACTTGAATTAACTCTTCTTGTTGATACTTGTGGACTGCCTGACCTCCTGGAGTCCTCCTGGGTTTTTCTTTAAGGTGGTTGATAATGGAGATGAGCAATGGGTGCTCAACAGCTCAGCTGATTATTTGTCATGCGAGTGCTAACTGCTGATTCTTCTTTCCCTTCCCAGCAATGCTTTATCCCTGTGACACACTCAGCTTCCGCTGGCCCACAACCCGCTACAGGCTTTGAAACTGGATCCTTTGACTGGTTGTGACCCATGCTGGTGCAATGGCTGGTGCGGTAGATTAATTTACCGCTCACCTGTTTGCATATTGCTTTGCTACTTGGAATAGCAAGTGAAGATGGTTGTTTCTGAATGAAGCAGATTTCACTCTTGATAAAGGAAACTGCAAGATCTGACTAGTTGTGAGTATCTGGTTTGGTTGTTTTGGAGAGTGAGAAACTGTTTTTATTGAAATTGGTTGCTGTTCTGTTCCTTGTGATCTGTGTACAAACCAGGTGTCAGCTCCTGCGAACAGTGGGTTAAGTGCCTGAGAAGAAGAGAGGAGGAAATGGTGGCTCTAGAGCTGTCATGCAGCTGCAGTGCCCTGCACTTGCTTATCAACATATGCTCTTGCCTTGGGTGATGAAAAACTGAAGTGGATGCTTCTCTGAAGTACACCGAGTTACGTTTTGGTGAGTTTTTCCCTTTTCATTAATTTTGAGGTCTCAAATACAAATGCTACAATAGAGATGAGGAAAAATTGAGGGAGCTCTAAAGTATGTGTAAGACCAATGTTATCAAGTGATATCTAAGTTTCTACTCTGCATCTGTGTTCAACCTGGTAATAGGTTCACAATTTTTGAAAAGATGGAATAAGTGATTTCCCTTTCTCCTTTCTTTTCTTCTTCCAATAGTCTTTGGTAGACACTCATGAGCCACTGGGGAGGCACGTAGTAGCAGTTGTACACATGAACTATAACCACTTGGGTTTGCCCTTGGAGAAAGCAGTTTAAGACCAACCCTAAGAGGTATTTGGGGACTGGCTTTATCCAGTTCCTAAGGCCTCTTACAGTTCCTCACATATAGCAAGACATAACACTTTCCTCAGAACCTGTTGAGCTCATTCAGCAGTAAAGTGGATGCCAGGTAGTAGCTGTCCACTGAGGGGACAGAGAAATTTGGGCTCATGTTGTGCAATGCATGCACTAACTTCAGTTTAAACTTTAATCATAAAATAGAACAACTTTTCTCCATTTGCTGTACAAGATGCCTGATGTGTCTTCTATTAGATAGTCCTCGTCATCAGTCAGTACCCAACTCAATCTTTTTTCAAAATCAAAGCTTAGTGCAGAATGCTATGCAAAGGTTGTCGTTAGTGCAAGACATTGAACTGTGTATTTTAGTTGTTCAGTTTGAAAATTCTTGCAATCCTCACCTTCTAGAAATACGAACTGAATCATGGACAGCTAGGATTAAACAGCTCAAGAGCTGTGTATTAAACAGCTCTAGAGTTGCCATATGCAGGAGTAAGCAAAGACTGAGAGCAGCTAACGCTGCAAAAGGACTCTTGATATACCTGATGATATGAGGAATACAACCATTGAGTTCACGGTTCATGGTTGAAGAAGGAAGGATCATCTACTAGCACCAGAAGAAATTCAGAAAGTTGCCTGTCCACAGTCATTCCTTATTTCACCTAGATAGTGCAGGAAAAAGGTATGTTTCTTATGTTCTACAGCTACTGTGAAAATAAAACAGGTTGATAAGAACTTCATGCCTCAGTAGGATTTAACATCAAGGAATGCCCTCTTCCAGGATGGACAAGCAGTTCCATCTCTGCTCTGCAGGTATGTAGGACACCAGCTTTTGTTATGGGCAAATTTGAATTCTTGCAGACTACAAATTTTTGGATGTTTATAGCAGGACCACAACCGCAGTAGCAATTTGTTTATTTATTATAAATAAAACCCGATAAATATTTCATAAATTACTATTACAGCTTTCTAAAAATATATATATCATTTTAATATTCTTAAAAGTTTAGTTCTGAGTTACACAATTATAAACAATATCTATAAAATGTTTTTGACACTTTACCTTCTAGAGTCTACATTAATACAGAGATTAATGCCCAATTTACAATATTCTGTTGGAGAGATTTTAGTAGTAAATATAAATAAAATGCAAATAAAATAAATAATTTACTACTATTTAGCAAATGGCAGCTCTCCATCGAACTAGCTCTCTCCATGTTTTAACAGCTAAGTTCTGGCTACAGTTATGAATAGTCATGTGAGATATGAAGGGCCTCTGCAAAGTTTTCCTCAAGATCATCAAGTTCCTTGTTGGCTTCCAAATCACTGTCACAAGTAATCACATTTAAAATCGCCTCACAGGAGGGTGAAGTGTCTGGGTCATCTTCACATTTCACACAAGAACCAGACTCTGTCCCAGCATCCATCATTTCAGCAACATCTTCTGAGAAGTCATTCTTGCTCTGTGACTCCTTTGAACTTTCCCTGCATACTGGTGACTCAAGTATGTTTGGTTCCTTGAACGATAAGTCCATGGTCCCAAAGAATTCACTTTTTGTAGCTTTTCTTTGACTTTTACCAGTAAACTCAAACTCCTCCAGCATATCGAACTCTTGCAGATCTAGCGATTCCAGGGCATCCCAGCTGGTGTGGGTTTGCTCTGCAGCGGTGCCCGGGCTGCAGCCGAGGTCTGCTTTCAGTACATCCAACAAGTGGCGCATTTTGCTCTAGTGGGTTAGGGAAGAAAAAAAAGATGACATTTCTCCAGCCCTGTGGCAGCTGTCTGTCCACAACTCAGGGCTTCATTCTGACATAAGGAAAGGGAGGCTGCTTGCAGTCAAGTGACTGAGTTATACAGCAGGTGGCACCTGGAGAGAAATTCTCCCCACTGAGCATTCTGGTTACCTTTACCCACAAATATACCAGTGTGTTTCTACTGTACTTCGGAAGCATTGCTGAAGGGAAAATACTTAGAGGCAGCACCTACCTCATCTAAACGGTTCTTATTTTCTTCTATATGACACTCGAACAGTTGTTCCAGAACCCTACAAATGAACAATTAGACGATATCACAGGAAGAAACCTATCTTTTAACAGATCTACATAAATTAATGACTTTTTGTTTCTTATTTTCATTTCTTAGCTGAATGGGACCACTAAGGTTTTCACTCAGCAGAAAAGGAGCCGAGGGGTGCTGGCTGACAGTCAGCTGAACATGAGCCAGCAGTGTGGCCAAGAAGGCCAACAGCATCGTGGCCTTTATCAGGAATAGTGTGGCCAGCAGGACCAGGGCAGCGATCGTTCCCCTGTACTCAGCACTGGTGAGGCTGCACCTCAAATCCTGTGTGCGGTTTTGGGCCCCTCACTACAGGAAAGACATTGAGGTGCTGAAGTGGGTCCAGAGAAGGGCAGTGAGGCTGGTGAAGGGTCTCAAGACCAAGTCTTACGAGAACTGGCTGAGGGAACTGGGGTTCTTCCTGGAGAAAAGGAGGTTGAGGGGAGACCTTATCACTCTCTACGCTGACCTGAAAGGAGGGCGGAGTGAGCTGGGTGTTCTGCTATTGCCTGTTACTTGGGAGAAAAGACCAAAAGGAAATGGCCTCAAGTTTCACCAGAGGAGGTTTAGATTAGATCTTAGGAAAAATTTCTTCACTGGGAGGGTTATCAAGGATTGGAACAGGCTGCCTGTGGAAGTGGTGGAGTTACCATCCCTGGAGGTAAGATGTGCAGATGCGGCGCTTAGGGACATGGTTTAGCGGTGGACTTGGCATTGGATAACAGTTGAACTTGATGCTCTTAAAGGTCTTTGCCAGTCTAAGCAATTCTAAGATTGTATTATGCTCTGTCACAATGAGGGCTACCCAGAGCTGGTATCCCCCTGGACACAGGCTCATCTAATGGAGGCTTTATCTGACAGCACACAGCAGCAGACTGAATTTTCCTAGTTCCCCTTTCTTATGTAAAGCAAAAAAGAAAAGTAAACATCTGTATCTATATATTCTTAAAGGCAAACAATTGCTTACTAAATACCACTTCTCCTTCTCCATTTGTATTTCTGACACAGTATTATAAGTTTGATAACAACTGTAACCTACCTGTCAGAAAATAGTCCAAGGTTAAGAATTTCGTTTGTTATATCTTCAATGAAAGCTAAAAAACTCTTCTCTGTAGGAAAAATAGAAAACACAATGTTAAATGTGGACTTGATGATCCCAAGGGTCTTTTCCAGCCTGCATGACTCTATGTTTTAAAATAGAGACACATATTACACAGTGCAATAGGTACAATCACTTTAATAGGAAATGGCATTTAGAAGATTGTATAGTTCTTGGCACCTGCTGCTATTTTTGAAAAATGTAATTCTATCAGGACAAACTAAATCTCTCATTCAATTTGAATAATAATAAAAACCCCTGTGTAAAACAGCAAATTGTTAGGAAGGTTGCTATGGTGCTTCATGTTGATGATAACTTTCTGTTTCGGTATAAATTAGCAGAGAGTTTGTGAGTGAGGAAATCAGGAAATCTTGGAAAGTGTTCAGAACTTCCTTTGCACTCACAAAGAAAGATATGTTACCCACGAAGAAAGCGTAAAGTTGTGGCTTGATGTTCAGAGCGAAGGCTTCCAAAGGAGCTTTGAGAGAGTCTGACTGCAGCTGAAAAGTGCTAGTCCTTAGTGGAAGCTCAGAAAAAACTTAAGTGCTTGCTTGCCAGCCTCCATTCCTTTCAAACAACAACTCTTTGATGCACAAAATCCATGTTAGTGCGAGATGTGGCTTTCACCTCTTTGATCAAATTTCTATTTCAGTACCTCTTAAAGCCTGGGCAATGCCAAGTGCTCTAAATGGGAGACTCTCCAAAACTTTGGAGTTCTGCTTGGAAAACAACAAGAAAGAACATCCCAAAAGAAAATATTTCAGTGCTGTTACTCTTCCATAGAAACTTTCTAAAGATTCCAAAGTATCCAGTCAAGCTCTATCAAAGCATACTCCAGTCTTAATAAACAGAGAATAAAATATGAGATACATCTTGCATGACTTTCATTATGTAAAATTTGTCACCCAGCTTCAAGACTGGCATTTTGGTTCCCTTATAGTCAAGAAATATATCTATAGCTGATCTTTGATACCTACATTACATCCTGAATGTAACTCAATATAACTCAAATCTTTTCTGAATATTACTCAAATCTTTTCTAATGATCTTCAAATTTCAGAGCAAAAGTGTGGTAAGAATACCTTTCAACATTGTATGTTATTTTGCTAACATTTGCTTCAGACATTACAGACCGGAAATGAACTGGAAACATTTAAAGTGTAACCACTGGACAAGAAAAGAAGTCTATCCTTCTTCCAAAGAATTTTTACGTGCTATATAACAATTCAGAGTCATGTCAATTCTGCTGTAAATTATGAACAAGAGAGTCCTCATTTAGTGTTTCAAGTTCATCGGTTTTGAGGAAGAGTTTCTAGTTTAATGTTACAAACTATCAGAAAAATGGTTTAAGCATACTTACTCAGCCTCAATAGTCCCCCTTGCTGAAGATTGCTGAGAATACAAGGTCGTCTCTCTAATCAGAAAATCAGAGGATAAGAAGGAGAGCAACATTGTAAAAAATCCTTTATACTGCCTTGCATCTCACTTTGTTCTGGAGCTATGCAGTGCCATTATCTCACTTCCTCTTGGAAAAAAAATGCACCAGACACCCCCAAACCCTGCCCCAGTGGCAAAATCCACAGCTTACATTGATGCCTGAAAGACTGTGGTTCAAGAGTATTATAACACCTCACTAGATGCAGTGCTCTAATGCCCCCCAAAAAACTTCAGTGTTCAGATGCAATCCTTAAGAGTGTTTTTGGTTTTTTTTTACTCAAGAGTACATTTTTTTTCCTCAAGAAAAAATGCCTTTGTATGAAAAGGCCAGAGTGCACATCAGCAAGTCATACATGACACTTAGGTCAGCAGTGAGGAGAATCAGCTGGAAGCCCTTGGGTTCTGGCCTGATTTTCCTCACTGTTCTTGTATTGTAGACAATATTCTAAATCTCAGTGTTACATATTCAGAAAAAAAAAAAATTGTGAGAAATGCCTCTGGTCTGCAAACCACACAGATTATAGATTCAAAAGGCTGGATGTCTGGAGATCCTGTTTTCTGAAAAGAAATATCAGTTGGCATACTGATCCAGTATTTAGCTGCAGTACTGTAAATAATAGTACTGAGAAATACAGTCGGTAAGCTCAGATGTATTAATGTGTCATCCCTCTCACTCATGACAAAAATACTCATGTATTTCAGAGCTTTCTTTCTTAACTGGCTTCCTATTGGAACTTTATCGGAAGAAAATAATGAATTTTGAAGTTGGCAAAGGCCACTGATATAAAAAAAAACCCAACCAACCGAAAGTCCCGTGAGAGAAGACTTAAAAGAAAGACAAATGGTAGTGAAGGCTTATGGCCTAAGAAGCAGCTGTACAGAATCCTTCAAATATTCCTTCCTGCTGTAAATCAAGCACCTTAGAAAGGAGTATGGAAAAGCAGCTATTCCTCTCTCAGGCTCCTCCACAGTATACCTTCTATCTTCAGCCTACAACATAGAGATAAAAATCTTTATTATCAGTGCAAATACACAGCAGATTTTACCACCGAAAGTAACCTAATAACTATCTGTGCTTAAGCAACTCTGCAAATTTTATGTTTTTTTCTAAGAAACTTCGGGTAAATAGAGACCTATGGCAGTAGAGTGATCAGCTTTGACATTCAATATTTTAGTCAAGGGCAACAGCACATGTGGAACATTTCCCCCCCTGACAAGTACATCAAAGATGAATTCTCTAGAAGCTAGAGGGGGTCGGTGTCACCAACAGGAGTAAAATTTCATGTGCAAAAACAGGAACTGGCACCCTAAATCACGTTGTTTGAGCTGCTTACACAAAACTGATAGAAAGTAAGGTCGCTGACTTCCTGCATTTTAAATGATAATACTCCAAAAGGGCCACTATAAAGCTACGTGACTTACTGTTGTCACGTTTACAACAGCCAAAGAAAAAGCCAGATATGACAGTTTTGAAATAAATAAGCTCTTCATGGAACTGGTGTGACGCCTTCTGAAGAAGTGCTTAACCTTTTCATAATGAGGTCAGCTGCAGCTACAGATCAATTCAGGTGGTCTCTTCTCTTTTTAGTAAAGCTATAAATACATATTCTCTCTCTTCCATTGAATAAAACATAATAATTTGCCCTATTAAGTTAGAGACATGAAAAGTCTGACCCTGTCACCTTCATTCAGGGAGAAGGTCCACAGTTATTCAAGGCTCTGTTTGACAGGGCTGTTTCTTTAAGGACTTGTCTCTATAGTAGCTACAAGATAAAGCACAAAAGTGAGAACTTAACTTCCAGTCCAATTCTTCCATCCAAATATTGGTACAAATTAAGACAAACTAACTTCAGATTTGAAGTCTCAAGAAGTATTTCTGGGTTTTTGCCTGTGTCCCTCTGCCTCACAAAGATGCTGGTATTCCATTTCATCTTTAAATTTTATAATTTTAAACCACCATATGCTAAGGCAATTTCTGAAAGGCCAAATAATTGAAAAACTAAGTTTAACTGTAAAATCACTTAGCAATTCAAATCAAAGACAGATGCAAACATTTTTGTGACTAATACAAAAAAAATACTAGGAGCCGGTAGAACTTAAAAGTGGTGTGATTTTTCATTAAAGCATTTGAGACACATTCAGCAAGACAGAAAGCACATAGCACCAAAGGAAACTTTACCACCCCACTGTTTTGGGTGCTTCTTCAGAAGAAGGAACTCCTTCATTCCAATTCTTCTATTGAGGGCTTTTTGGAATATGTTATCCAATGTAAAAATGAAGAAAAATAATCCTTGAAAAAGAGGTACCTTCTGCTGAAAAATAATGTACCAATTATCTACATCCTTAACAGATACTTAAGTGATAGTGCACTTGTAAAAACTTTTTAAAAAATACTAAAACTTTTTAAGTTTGCTTCACATACCTCATTAATTTTATTGTTTCCACTTGTTCTTCAGAAACTCTCTTTCCTCTACAGAACTAATTCATTTCATGACAATAAAGAAAATGAAACTTGAATCAGTTGTATACTGCTGTGGCAGAGGTGAAGTATATACTCCAAAAAGATGGTGAAGGCTGTGGTAAGAGTACCCAGAAAACTGATAAATGCATTACCTTCAACGTGATCTTCTGCTCTTCAGACGTAATTTCTCTCTCAGACACTTCATCTGCAGATGGAAAGCTACAAAATTAAGAGATGTATTAGATTTCCACGGCTACTTTCAGAACATGCTGGATGAAAATACCAGTGCCACTGTGGCAATTTCCCATCAATCCGAATGAGACCTAGTACTGAAATGTCTCAGACAATTTAGAAAATTTCTGCCAGATTTCCATTCACCTAATAAAACTAAATTAATTTTGAGGGACGACAACAGTCATACATATGTGATCCATTATGTGGCTGCACATTCACAGAGGATAGCTCAATTATCCAAAAGTATTGTTCAGTGCTAAGAATGGAGGTGATCCTATATGTTAAACGTGCACCAGGAATATATATGACCTACAGCCAGAAAATCACTACTTGCAATATGGAGCTGAAGCTATAGTAATTCCAGTCTTATGAAATTCCCACTTTGTTCTAGGACAAAACCAGAGTTAGACATGCAGGCACTGAGGCCATGTAAGAGAAAAGATTTCTCTTTATGAGGTAATACAACCAACACTAAATCAGAACTCTTTAATTTGCTAGGAGGAGTTTGATGCAAGAGAAGGACAGTAATTTTGTATAAAATATTTCAGAAAGGATACATCTGAAGGCATTTAGATGAAGATGATAAGTCAATGAAGAACTGCATCCAAGAGTTAAAAAAAAAATAAAAAAATCTTTCCATGATGTATGAGCAACAGTGGAGAATCTAAATGCCACAGTTTAAAATAAAGTTTTAATCTCCGTACCTGATAACATCAGTCTGCGTTTGAGCTTCTACATGCTGCTTGCAGTGATTTCTCCTTTTCCTTCGAGCAGGAGTGTAGTACCTGTACTCTGACAGGAAAGATTTAGCGTCTGATATTAAGGTGCGTGGAGTAAAAGGTTTCTGCCTATCAGTAAAGAATTCAGAGTGCCTGTCTAGAAGATCCCCACTGCATACTCTTGAGTTTTTTCCTTGACGCCTTTGGGAATGACTGATGCTCGCAAAACTATCAGTGGAGCAACTGCATGAAAGTCCAGAGCATTTTCTTGGTGTACTTGATGTACTGACACTTGAGTTCGAGTTAAATTTGTTAGATGTATTCCGAGAATCTTTTCTGGCATATTTTACCGGACTGGAGTGAACCAAGCCTTGCCCACCGTACGGAGACAGCGCTCTTGAGAGGTACTGTGCCTGCCGAGCACAGGGGAAGAGACCGTCTTTGTCTTCTGGTTGCAAGAAACTCTGTTAAAAAAATCAAAACAAGATTGGATTGCTTTGCAAGTTACCAGCTTTGCTCAAGTTTGCACTCACAGCTATTACTGTTACCAGCTTGGAGGTATTTTCTGTGTAAAACCTTACCATTTTTGTAAAATCAGACTGGTTTCACAGCAGCCCCAGAGTTAACAGATTTTAAAACACAGTAATTGGAAATAATAGAGTAAAAAGAAAACGGTTTGCTTCAGTAGCAAAAGATTGGTGCTTTGTTAAAGAATATAAACAAAGAGGTTTAATAATTTTAGTCCAAAGGGATAATACAATTTTAGAAGTCAAGGAATTATTGTACTGAAGCAAATTATTTTATCTAGGTACCAGGGCAAACTGCAGGTAGTTTACCATCAAAATTAGGTCACAGATCATGCTGCTGTCATTTGATATTTCATTCACAACAATTCCACACAACAATTTTATCCCACATCAGTAAGACCTATCTATGCTACTCCAGTACCCATAGCTGCTATTGCTATTCCAGTGTCCATAGTTGCTGATGCCTAGTCCAAAAGGTTGGGTTTTTTGGTTTTTTTTTTTTAGTTAGCTGAGCCAAAATAAGCCCTTCTTGATGGTATTTCATGTGAGAGAACTGTGTTTTACTGCTACAGCATAATTAAATGCTGAACTGATAACATGCAGTAACAATGACAAACAAACGCCTGTGTTAGCACGCAGTACAATCACGCTTACTGCAGTGGGTTGACCCCGGCTGGAGGCCAGGTGCCCACCAAAGCCGCTCTGCCACTCCCTCCTCAGCTGGACAGGGAGAGGAAATATAACGAAAGGCTCGTGGGTTGAGAGGAGGACAGGGAGATCACTCGGCAGTTACTGTTGCAAGCAAAACAGACTCAACTTGGGGAAAAAAATAATTTAATTTATTACCAATCAAATAGGAGTAGGATAATGAGAGATCTAGTTAAAGATGTCCCTGCTTACTGCAGGGAGGTTGGACTAGAGAAGCTTCAAAGGTCCCTTCTAACCCACCACATTCTATGATTCTAAACAAAAACTAGATCTTAGAACACCTTCCCTCAACCACTCTCTTCTTCCCAGTCTCAGCTTCGCTCCCTATTTCTCTGTCTCCTCCCCTCCAGTGGCACTGAGAGTGGAGGTTGTGGTGAGTTCAACACAGTTTGTTTTTGTCCCTGCCACTCCTTCCTCCTCAGTGGGGAGCACCCCTCACACTCTTCCTCTGCTCCAGTGTGGGGTCCCTCCCACGGAAAACTGTTCTCCATGAACTTCTCTAACATGATTCCTTCCCACAGGCTGCATTTCTTCCCGAACTGCTCCAGCATGGATCCCCCCACCAGATGCAGTCCTTTAGGCACAGACTGCTCCAGCCTGGGTCCCCCATGGGAGGAGGGCAAGTCCTGCCAGCAAACCTGCTCCAGCACAGGCCTCCCACGGGGGTCACAGACTCCTTTGAGCTTACACCTTCTCCAGCGTGGAGTCCTCTGCGGACTGCAGGTGGGTATCTGCTCCACCATTAACCTCCACAGGCTGCCGGGGGGCAGCCTGTCTTAGGGCTGCAGGGAAATCTCTGCCCCCGGGCCTGAAGCACCCCCTCTCCCTCCTTCTTCACTGACCTTGGTGGCTGCAGAGTTGTTTCACATGTTCTCACTCCTCTCTTTGGCTGCAATTTCTACAGCAGTTTTGTTCCCCTTCTTCATCATGTTACCCCAGAGGCAACACGACTGTTGCTGACGGGGTGGGCCTCGGCCAGCAGTGGGTCCCTCCTGGAGCCGGCTGGGGTTGGCTCTGTGGGACCTGGGGGAAGCTTTGAGCAGCTTCTCACAGAAGCTGCCCCTGTAGCTCCCCTGCTGCCAAAATCTTGCCACGCAAACCCAATACACAGACCAGTGTGACTGCAGATAAAGTACTTGTAGTGGTACCTCTGCACAGTAGAACACAGGTAAGAATGGAAAGTTTCAGATTCCACCTATATATAGATGTTTTGAAAAACTAATTCCATACCCTTCAATACGTATTATGAACAGTTAATTTTTCTTGCATACTTTTTACTCAGTGATTAAAACAGTTTGTGGAGCTGCAACATAAATCAGATTGTGAACATGTGATGACTGGTGTCCTACAAAACAGTAATAAAAAAGATACTAAGTGATATTAGCCTGTTATATTAACTACACCTCATAAAAGCCTCATGTTCTATCCATGGGAAGCAGCTCAGCTGATCTGAACACAAGAGAAAGGTACAGGGCAAGTGTGGCAATATCCTAAATTTAAGCATTCTTTATTTATGAGGAAGCTTAGGGCAGTTCGTCTCCTCTAACATACCACAAGTAGAACACACCAAGTAGCTAAGGTAGTGGCTAGATTTAGAGTCGATTCTTGACACCTATCTTGCTTAGCAATGTATGTTCTTGTTCTACTGATTTAACCAACTGTAATTTGTTTTGAAAGATACACACTTAATTGTACGTTTCAGCAATAATAACCCATTCAAAAAGGTTTCATAAATTATATATTTATCTTTCACTTTTGCTACACACAAAGCTGGGGTAAACAGAATACTACTTGCAGCAGGCTTCTACAGAAGGACCCCTGAATCTCCACAGACTCTGTTGAAAGGAAAGTTCAGTAAAAAAGACATCAAAGCATACTGCTGTCATCTGATGGGCAAGAGAAGTAACACAGAGAAAGAATCCAGATTTCTAAGTTACTTTCTAAAGAAAAAAATAGTTTCTCAATGCAAAAGCCACTGAGGCATCAGCTGCCTTAAAAATAAACAAGCTTTGAAAAGAAAACTTGCTAAACCTAGTCTCACATAAAAGGTCTAAAGGCACCTCTGCCAGGGTCACTGAAGTTACACCAAGATGAACTTAAGTCTTGAAATGATCTTGTGCTTGTAAGAAAATGTCTTCCAATAGAAGTAGTTCATAAAATGAGGTCAGAGAGGCACTTTATGAACTGTGCTGTCACAATACAGAAGCTGCAATTTGGTAATAAATGAGCTGATTCTTTTAACTCGAGACAGCTCCATTTGGAAGCCACTTCAGTCGTGCTGTGTGTGGGCTGAGTGCCTGCCCTGTGCTGCCTGCGCAGAGCAAAGGGCTCCCATCGTCAGCGACGAGCTGCCTTTACAGCTGCTGCTCTCATAACATCCTTGTAAGTCATTGTTCACTTCATTGCACCCTTCAATAACTAGTTAAGAATTGAGAAGGGCAAGAGAGAAAATTCACACAAATACGTGAACAAATCAGACCTGTATGAATATAATCAATTTGCACACTGGCATCAATAATTACCACAGTTTTCATTCACAACTATGTTCCTGTTACATTCTTTCCTTCTATATGTGTGTGTGTGTGTGTGTGTGTGTGTGTGCATGTGTGATACTTGTATAACATGGCATGTTCCTACTTTCATCACACTGTGATACTATTAATAAGAGGTATTACCGAATGTGCATATGGAAATGTATTAATTCAAACAAGCAGCATGAGAGGTGATTGTCACTATGAAGCCTGAAAGGAAATCTGCACTGACCATTCCTAAGGAAAACATCTTTCTTTGATGCTCAGAAGGTTCTTCTGCTCTCTTTAGTCACTTACATCTCTCATTCTGACAGAAGTAATTCAAGCACAATACATCTTCAGACTTAATATTGTAACAGTAAAATGAATCTTTAAATAGAAAGCATTTGAGAAGGCAATTCACATAGCTATGCATGTGTGCTGCATACAAAAGTAACAAGAGAGATTAGAAACAGTTAATGGCATTTCCTAATCTATATTTAATATGCACAAGCAGATGGTCATAACTGTCATTCTTAAGAAACCAAAAGTCTCAAAGAAACAGGCTGAAAGGGACCTTGAAATGTCAAGGCAATGACAACCATACTTCAAATGGTTCAAAGAGAAAATCTAACTTCCTATGGAGCAGCCTTCTTCAAATTGACTTTTGGCATGGATTAATTTCTTCAAAAAATGCCATTACCAGTCAGAAATGCCTATTAATAGGATTATCTGAACATGGGATATGAAATACCAAGTCTTACTGAAATCAGAGATTTTACTCATGATCAGCTCAATTCATTTTTTTTGCTCTACAAGAAGTCATATTGAGCTTCATGCAGTCTGATCCACTGAATCATTCAGATGAATGTTCAAGAACTCAAATCAGCTTTGTACAGAAAAATAAAAACTAAAAATCTAGGGATTTTACTAGCATATCGCTTTCCATCCCTGGCAGTAGTTGGAAAGGCTACACAGTAGTGGCATTCTACACGTAAATGCCACAGCATTTGCCAGGCTGTGTCAAACAGCCTTTTCTAATTTGAGAAAACTTCATTAAAGGAGTATATACAAGTAATTTACTCACAGATGAGTGGATATCTACAAATGCTTATCCATTCTCAAGCTTTTCAGTCTAAATAAGTGTCTAAATATTAACTTACAAAATCACATATCCACAAAGACGCACAAACACAAAGTTGGCAGCCCTTTCAGTATCCATACCTGTAGTTTACCAACCTATTTTGATTAACTTTCACACACAGTGTCAACCATCATTATTACACTATAAGGAAAGAGAGGAGCAGAAGAAAAGTACAGCTGTCCCCAGGACATCTTATGCTTTCCCTGTCCCTCTGCTTCACTACAAGAGAGAAAATACTGTCCTTGAAGTAATTTAGTTGCCAGCGATTCCATGCAAAGACTGCTCCATTGTGCCATGGGAAAATGAGCCTGCTCCTTAGCTTCTCACTTAGGTCTTCTGTCTAGAGAAATGCACGATGCACCATAAATATCTGTCATATCTTAACCCATGGCTCTAGATGGAGTATTTTTAGCTCTGTGATCAAAATACTTGCTTTGATTAAAATCACTGGTTATTTCAAAAAGTCACGTCATGAAATCTAGGTAACCACAAGAGAAGTAACTTTCTCAGTTCATTACATACCATAGCAGATTCTCATGTTACAATAACTTTACATTTATAACTCGATATATCAGATAAAGAATTCACTGTTTCTGTGCATTTAAGTCTTTATATAAAACAGTCAAAGAGCAGGCCAGTCAAGTTTAAGACACATTATAGCTGTTCACTTTCATAGCCTGCTCAGTGTATAATAAAATACCCTGACTCAGTCAGAGGGGTTCTAAGAAATGTATAGCATGTACTGTATAATGTTGACGAATTAGGGAGCCTTTTGAAAATAAAGTCAGGTACATATATCAAAGCTGGTTAGCACACATTTAGCATATTATCTAGTCAGGTGTTGATCTTGTCAGAGTTACAAGGGGTATTATATTTTTATATGTACATATATATATATGTATGCTACTCCTAAACTGAGCTACAACTGATTTTACAAGAACTACATTTTATTAGGCAAGAAATGATGCATTATGAAAGTAATTTAACTTTTGTATTCTTACATTTAAATGCCAAAGCCAGGAGAATTCTATTTGTCTCTTTTCTTACATTCCTCCTCTAATGTTGGATGATGCTTACTAAGCACAAGACCACACTCTACTCTTGCTGTTACCTCCTTGGAAACCTGGAGTATTCCAAAGTTGACTACTTCAAACTTGTGCTGAATCTCACCCCAGCCCACCAACAGTCTGTTATAACAGTATATTAAAGACAAGAAGCAAATCCTTTCATTTTAAAGCTGAAGATAATTTATGCAGTAATAAGAGATACATTTTAAGCACACTGTACTTGGTTTCTCGATTAAATAATTTAAGGAGCTTCTCCTGTCCCCAGTTTGCAGAAAATAACATGGAAGGACAAAAATGGTATTAATAAAAATAAAACTGAGGTTTAAAATACAACATTTCCTCCCTGTTCTTATGCATGCCTGTGCTTTCATCCATAACTAAGAGCCATGTACTGAATTTCAAACTATTATTTCTCTGCACTGCAATAAGTTCACACTCCGACTGCCTGCTGCAAAAACCAGTCACACAGAAAGAAACTAATAGTGAGTTTTCTGTACTAATTGGAAATGTTCTCCAGATCTACGGATATTTAAACAACATATGAAGCATTTGCTGTTAAAATTAATAGAGTTAAAACATCATTACATTTTAAGTTGCAATTGCTTCTTTACAGTGATAAACAAGAGAATTTAATTTAATAGGTTACTTATTTATTATTTGGAAATATATACCACGTATTTGGCTAAAATGCCAGCCAAAATAAGTGAATCTGTGCATAGAGGCAGAAAAGCACTTAATTTGCTGCCTTAAGTACTATTTTCACTTTCAACAACTGCAATTTGAACATGTAGTATACTGGTAGACACGAAATGTATTTCCAAAGTAGGTAGGTCTCTGGGTACAGAAGAAAAAATTATTGATTCTTCTGCTAGGAAGGTTAGTGATAACTAGAGTTCTGCTTGGGAAATGGGAGAAAGCTCTGTAGTGACAGAGAGAACATGGGAATTTCAGCTGAGATGAACGTAAAGAAGGGTAGCTAGAGCTTGAATTTCTTGCAAGCGCTCTTCATCCAGAGACCTGCCGAGAAGTGCATTTAGTGTCGGGCATGTGACAAGAAGACTCCTGTCTATTTTCTGCTGCTTGAAATATGCCTCTACAGCTGAGGCACAGCAGCAATCAGCTGTTATTATGGGAAGCAAGGAGATTATGGTATCACTACAAGAAATTAAAAATACCTACCTTTCCATGAGAGGATGGGAGCAGCCTTCCACTCTCTCTTGAACTGGATCGGGAGGCAGTTTTACCCACACTCATTTCCTCTTCGCACCTGGCTATCTTCTTTTTCAGCTTCTCTCTTCTTTGCTGGTCAGCAACTTAGGAAAGAGACAAAGTTTATCAGATCCAAACTGAAATATTATTTACTTATTTTTTTGTCCTAAGTGATTTGAAAACATCACTGGGATTTCTAATTGCTCAGAAAAGTCAGACTATTGAGATATGTTCCACTTCCAACACAAAGCAATTATAAAATTACCTCTGCTCTTAGAAGAAAAAAATATTAAGAGCATGCTGGTAGCTGAAACTGTACCTTGGCTTCCCTTAAGTATTCTCAACTAACACACTAACGCACAAACTCCAAGATCAGTATTTCTAACAGAGCACTCTGCTCAGAAACTCCCAAGTTTGGTCTCATTTTTTTACAGACAGGATTCCTTTGACTGTGCTCTCATCCAGTATTTCAGCAAAAAAAAAAAAATAATGTAAATTTGTCATGACAAAATTCCAGTAAATTCGACATGTAAAATATCCGTGCTTACACTATGGAAAACCAGTGAGTACTCTCCCAGGTATAGAAATACATCACAAAACAAGCAAGTTCACGTCAAGAACATAAAAAATTAAGGTGAACACTGTGAAAGCGCCACTGTTGGGTAAGGAGGAGAAGTTGCCATCAGTCTACAGTAGTCTGCAGTCCAAGACCTTGTTCACAGTGTCCATGCAGCACAGAAGACTAGTTAGGTATCTATGCCGTCAGATAAAGAGAGGAGCCCAAAAGATGGGTAAATTTTCTGTGTTGGAGTGCTATCAATCACCTACGTCTGGTATCTTGCGTAATACAGCCCAAAGCTTTTGTTCGTTGTGAGCATGCACGTGCCACAAATGAGTTCACAAAGTTGAAAAATCCAAATGAAGCTTATGAAAGACATGAATAATTTAATTTCTGAGTGGGAAAGAAGAGGATTTTTATAAGCAAGAACACTTCTGAAGTCTGTATACACAATGAAACCTACTTTAACTTGACTACATCTCTCATTCAGTTAACACAGACCCAAGCATATGAACGGTTTGTTTCATACAGACAGAAAGGCCTTTGTGGATTTATTCTTCAGTTTCATAATGTATTTATATCATAATCTGGTAGACCCGAATCTTCAGACACGCTACTATACTTAACACATGGAAATGTAAATAACTTTGTGGATTGGCGTGGTACATTCTTCTAGACAGCTGAGAACTACAGCAATCTGAGGACATTTAATCAACCTTTAAAATACATTCATCTGTCTGTATTAACCCTACAGACATGTTAATCTCTAGAATTATTTAAGTACGTGTATTCATTTCACTAAACATTTTAGTCCCATTTTAAACTAGAAATAATTCTTTCAGATAAAAAATCCTTGCTTTCACTCCTCAGAGGAATCTGATATGAAAAATACAAATTAATTTATTTTATCGCTGCTGATTTATTCAGCATATTCCATTAGCGCATTTACAATATGAAGCTGCTTTTATTACTGGAAAAACAGTAGCTGAAGTTAAGATATGCTAAATTCTACAAATGAATTAAAAATATGCCTTATAACAGAAGGAAAAAATATACTGAACCATTAAACCATTAAAAGGCAGTATTTTTCTTCCTACACTCCAAATTATTATTATGTGGCTATTCTAAATAATAATTATTTCTCACTGTGCTTGTCATAGAAGTTACAGACGAACACTCAAAAATTAGCTACAGGTTAGAAGCCCTATATGTGTGAGATAAATAATTACTCTCACTGGACCAGAGTGTGTCTGTGTGTGCACGTGCATGGAAGTGTAAAAACTCAAGTCTTGCTTATCACTCCGGAGAAATGGTGATGGCTGAAAGGAGTGTTGAATAAATACCTAGGGAAACAATGTATGAATGAGAGCTCTACAAAGCAAAAATGCAAACCATACAGAAGTGTGGGTGTGTCATTTTGTAAGTGTGAGTAGATGCCTGAAACAAATTCCCTTATTTCTTATTAAGCACTTACGTAGAAAGTGGGTTTGTCTAAAACAAGGTAGGCTTAATCATTTTACTGCACGTTCTACCTGCATACTATGGCTTAATAGGACTTTCTGGCAAAATGCAAAGCTGTGTGAGTATTATTATTGCAAAATTGAGTTCTCATGTGTCTTTGTTTTACAGGACAAATAATTTTATAGGCTAAAGCCTGAGATTTACCATACAAGGACAGACTCTGCCTTTACTCCTGCCATTGAAAGCTATAAAAGCCAATTACTACAAACCACCTCCAGGACTGTGTGCTGCGAGTCTTCTCAACTGAAGAGTCCATGAATAAATAAAGACAGACGAGGAAGTACGTCAGCCACAGCTTTCTTTGGATGTCAGAATAACCCACTGGGACTACTGTCACCTGCACGGGAAATGTAAAGTCTTTGCCTCACACCAGTCATATAGTGAGCTTAGCTCAGCTCATCCATTAAGTGTATTCCAAAAGCTGTAAAGTCACTCATGTGTACTGAAAGGCAGAGCAGACATATGCAAAGCAGAGTGGCAGAAAATCCCAGCAGTGTACGCGTCTTGTTGCCGAGTTAGGGAATTTTCAGGCTAGACTGACTGTAAAAGCTTGGAACTGTGAAACCAGCAAAGCAAGAGATAAAGGAATCTTTCTTTAAAAGAGGAATTACAGAGGCAAACAGACAGCTAGATGTAAGTTAGGACAGCCCTGAGGCAGTCAGCAAGTAACGCAGAGAAGGGTATGGGTACAGACTCAAAAACACGGACGCTGTGTACCTCCCCTCACTTGCCCCTCGCAGGGACTGGAGAATCCAGTCTTTCCACCTGACCTTAGCCAGACAGCAAAAGGTATGTACAAAGAGCCTGAATCTTTGAGGCACCAATTACAGTAATACAGTGATGGGAGCTGAAGGTACTTCAGTCTGCTGTACGTAATCACTTGTCCTGCAGCTGTGACTATATTGAATGTAGAAAGAATGAGACCAGCATTCAGGAAGAAATACGCAGTTTTGAAAGGGAGATTTATCTGTTAATTTGAAAGGTTGCTCACTGAAGATTTCTGCTTCAAATGCATCACAGATAGAGCTTCTTTAGCTTTCAGTGAGGTTAATAAAATAAATTTGACAAGACAGCCTTTGGCATACTGTTATAGACTAGCGGGAAGTAAATACCAACTGCATTTGTTAACAGATAGTTAATAATTTCACTGCAAGTAGCTTTGACTGTACCTTGGCTCCAGGAATGTATCACACTTGTAGAGTTAAATGTGGAAAAAGTTCAAGACAGCAAGTATTGTGTGACAAAGTAAAACGAAAACTACTGTTTTTTTCCATCTTTTTAAATGTTTAGGAATACAAAAATTCACTCTATACATCCAAATAACGGAAGTCCCTTCTTAAAGCCTTATAATTAATCTCTAAGTCTCTAATATCTCATTAACTGTTGTGCTCAAAACCACAGCAAACGTTTATAGTAAAGAGAAAATGTATTAGAATATAAACAGAGTAGTGATTTTTGTATATCAGATAAATTCAGAGTCTGTGAAACTAAATTCCATAACTTACTGCACTCGCCCCAGGAATTTGTTCTGTTAATTCTGTTGTCAATGAGAGGAAGCGCAAGCAAGACCACGGATTTTAGAAGTTAAAATCTGTAGCATTCTCCATAAAGTACTACCTTTAAAATTCTGAGCAATCTGTCATGTAAGTAGTGCTTTTGCCCAAGCAAATATCCTTTTCACAAACAGTACACCACACTTCCAAAGCAGAGATCACATCATTGTATTTCCCTGTTAGAATAAAGCCTCTATAGGCTTTACTTCTTCTTCCTTAAGCCTAGGCTGCAGCAGTATTTCTAGACAGAGTTACAAAACAAGTATCATAAACAAAATAACCGTACATACCACACTCCTAAGCAGCCTGAAAGCTCGGTGCTTCTAAGGACAGTACGATTCGGAATGCCAGTGACTGTCGTTTGCTCGGAATTTCCAATCTCTAAATTTACCATATGTCACATCACACTACAACTGGCAGATAGCCTTCAAGTTAATTCATTTCTGATGTAAATAATCCATAGCAGATAATGAAATAGTAAGTTAGATTTAAACTGAGCTCAGCTTGCAGAACAGCGTATCTCAAAAGAATTGTCCCACACGGATCATTTCTCCACTGAGTTTTTGTATCAGCTGTTTCTGCAGTAACACTTCCCTTATGAATTCTCTTAAACAAATGCAAATATCAACCTCATTTCTGCTGAGCTTGAAGTCCTTGCAATGACTGTAATCAAAGCTATCAGCATATCAGTTTGTGATACTACTTCTGCAAGCGAGCTCTTCCTTCCATAAGAATTTTTACTCTCGGCTCCCTAGCTCTACACAAATTCCCAGTACACTATGATTTAAGCACCTAGGGTGAGATCTCATCAAATGCAAACTGAATTTTGCCAATAGGCGTAAAGTCTGTGTTTCTCATAAGTCTAAACCTAAATTTCTTAGCACAGAAATTTTAAATTTCAGAACTCTAAGCAACAATTCTTCAGTCCTTCACATCCATTATCAGCAGCACCGTTTCATCAGATAAGGGAGGAATCATGATGAAAAAAAAGGCAACAAAGGATTTATTTATTACAGCCTTGTTTGTATCAAATAGAAAGTAATGTTTGTATCAGGGTATGTACTTCACAAATGTGATACTGCTTGGCCAAGCTACTAATGGCAAAATTTGGCCATTGCTAAAGCTTGGAAATAAAGCCTAATACTGAGATGTGAATCATTCCAGGTAATTTCAGGAGAGGCTAGAAGCACAGCATTATCCCAAATCCATCCATTTCTGATTCCCATATTGGGTCCTCATCTGACAGACATCTCATAGATACCCCCTGGCAGCCGTATGAAGAACACAGGAGCCGGTGCACAGCCTCCTACACAGAAAGTGTGAAGTGCTGCACAACGCTGAAGAAAACTTCTGAGCCTGCTCAGGTAACCCTCTATTCATGTACCCTAGCGAGAGGTCCACCTGGCTTCTAGGTGGGCTTGCCCACTGGGGCAGCCTCCAAGGACAGTTTAGACGTACTGTACTGAGCTAGTGCTGAGAGTAAATGGAAAACATGATCTTATTCCTGTTCTCTAGGATGCTATAGCTAGTTTGTGATCCTCAATAATAGTGGAAAATGGAATAAAAACAACCACCTCACCAGTGAATAGATGGTAAAGCCGGGTAACTTCAATTAAAAATTAGGGACACATTTTCAATAATTATGATGATTGACTACTGAAACAACTACTAAAGAAATTACATTTTCTCTATTTCTTGACCATTGCAGGTCAAGACTGCAGGCCTTTCTTCTTTATGTGCTTTATTTACTATAGTTATTGCTGGGTTCCACATTAGCATAACTGGATGAAATTTTTGTCTGCTTTACTCATGATGTCAGATCTAATGTCTTTTTGCAACCGCAAACTCTGAGAAATGTATTTTCGATGTACTGAATGCGTATCTGAAATGAATTATCTCATAAAAAAGAGAGAAAACCTTCCTGAAGAAGGAACTTTGTAGTAGATAATCTTTGCCAAAAACAAAAGTAAAATTACTACAGCTCAAAATACAGATTCATAAAAATAACTTGATAAATATACTGAGATATCTTTCCAAAGAAATACTTGGAACTCTGGGAACATACACGTTAGAAGTAGCAGACTGTCTGATTTTAAAGAATTTAATTTAGTTGCTTGAAATTTTCCTTTTCAGAAATACATGTGAAAGCACAATACTCAACAGAAAAGTTAAAAATCAAAATCTCCCCAAAGATGGGGAGATTTTGTGCAAGTTTTCTGTTGAACAGCAGCACAACCAACATATATAAGACAGCTCAGTTTTTCATAGCATGAAGGGTAGACTGATATAATGTAAAATGTGATTACATGAAAGATTAAAATACAGAATTATAGAAGAATATACTGAATTTCCTACTTGAACCTAACCCTCCCAAAAGGAGAACAACAACATGATCAGTCTAAATTGTTGTCTCTCCCATCTCTCACTCGCCATCCCCGTATTCAAGTTCCAGCAGGCTAAAATAGATTTCTGGTGGTTAACTTCTCAGAATACTTATTTTTCCTTCTTCTCCCCCGCCCCAGTATCAAAGAGACCTGCATTCCCAAGCACACTAATCACTGGGTTCAGGCTGTACTATCAATATGCCCTGTGGAAAAACCTCTAAACATATGGGTTGAAAAGTTAGTACTCTTAGAAACCAGGCATGTGTAGCAGCAGCTGTCTCACTTGGCATAGCTTTTGTCAAGTTTTCTGGCACAAATTCCACAACCACAGACTTCTAATGGCCGCTGGTATCAATCAACATGCTTGGACTAATTCTGAACACAGAAGTTTCACATTTCAAGAAGTTTCACATTTTAACAACTATTTTAAGTCAATAAGGCTGATCTAATACACAAGAACACGCTCACTGCTAGCCCAGCGGCATGGCAGCTTGCCTACTTTGCTGCCAGCAAAGATACCAGGAAAAGAACAGTGGAAACTAAATCCACTTTAAGGACAGAACACATTCAGTTGGCCAGGGAGAATGCCAACTACAGTATCATGTTTAATTCTTAAACGCAAATGACTGATTCATGGCAACAACCCCAAAGGGAAATACTCACCTGCTATTTTAGCAGTACATGAAGCACATTTACAGAGGACATTTTTAACACTATCTGCAGGAATTCTGTTTTGTAACTCTATGCTATTATTAAATCTCAGCATTTCTAACTGGTAAATTCACCCAGCTTCCCAAATCTTTTTTTGAAATGGAGGGGGATCGGAAACCTTATTTGGAATGCAGTTAAGTAATAAGACAAGGAATACAAACATAAAAAAAGAAATAATATGCTTCAGTTGAGGCAACGACAGGCATACAACTACTGGGAAAATAAAGCTGCAAACTCCTTGACTATACAGATTCCACCAATACTCAATCATATTGACGTTGCAACTGTGCCTGGGCAAACAGTGCGTTCCATCTCCAGCAAGAAAAAAGGAACTAGTTTGAAAATACCCCAAAAATGCTTTTCCCTCACTTTCTTCCTCAGTACATTTTCACTGCCTAAACTATGGGCTGTCATCTCAGCATAACTGGTTTCATAAAAGACAGAGGAAGAAAAACTGTTCTCCAGTGGATTGCCAGAGATGCTGCTAATGATACCTTGCACGGAGCTTAACATCTGAACACGTAACACTTGGCTGTGCTATTAATACAGTACAGAAATCTGTAGTTCTTGATGAACAATGCATCAAACAGTAGGAAAAAAATCCCAATCACTCTAATTTCAGGTGTGAAATAAATGGAAATATTTTTCAATTACATTCTAAATATCTGGAGTTTATAAGAATAGTGCAAATACCGCACAAGGGATGCCCGAGTAGTCTTAACCTTAAATACCTTGAAGGCAGTGAGATCAATAAGGAAAGATTTGAAAGTAGATGTGCCCCATGGAATTACTCCTTTGCTAACTCTGCACAAATTTTGGCCTGTGTGGCAGAGTTTATCTCTTTATAAAGTGATCTCAGTCAGACAACAGAAACATATAGAGAAAGCATATCAGAAAAAAAAAATCAGCTACATGCATATACTGAGTATACATACTAATCTTCAAAGATTTTTATTACAAAAGGATAATCTCAAGTACCCGGTGCAAACATACACATGAAAATCTTAAACCTGTTGCAGCTGAGACATGATTGCTGTTGACCATCATGACACAATTCCAGTTATGGCATCTAAACCCTTTACATTTCACCATCCAAAATTTACCTTTTACAATTGGAATTACCAGGATAAACACTTCCAAGTAAACCAAGTTCTAATCCTGACAGTGTTTGAATTGGACATCTGGAAAAAATCTTCCAGCTATGTACATACTGCAACACTGGAACAAGTTACTCAAGTTGCAGAATCTCCATCCCTGGAGGTTTCCAAGACTTCCCTGGCTGTCCCACTTTTGGCAGAAGTCCTATCTTGAGCAAGAAGTTCATAGAGGACTAAATGACCTCTGAGGGCCCTTTACAACCAAGGACAGACACGTAACTGAAGTTGACCATCCAAAACATTAGGCAAAATGACAACGCATACGGACCAAGCTGTGTGAGGAACCACTCAGAAGAAAGAGAAGAGGAATCATGAGACAGGAAATCCTTGAACCGGTGTCTCTTATGTCTATTGGGTAGAAAAAGTCTCTTCTGAAATGGTAAACAGAAGCAGCCAGCGAGCGGTGTAACTCCTAGCCTTGTGTCTGGGGCCAGTGCTGAACTCCAGGAAATCAGGTCTTGAGACATTTCTCTCAGTCTTTCCGGGAGAAAAAAAAAAAAAAAAAAAAGGAATCTTCCATAGGAAAAAAAGAAGCGTTTGTAGCATTTTATGCAATTTAAAATGAAAATGTAATTGGCAACATTTTTCTGCATTGCAAAGTAAAAACACTGCATTAAGGAATATTCTCATAAAAAGATATTGTTTACAGAAGTTTGCTTTATTACTTGGCTTTCAAGCCTCTCCTCAGCGCTCTCATTTTTATTAGGGAATAACAGGCACCTCACAAAAGCACGAAAATTAGGGTAGAGACATAATACTGTCTTGAGAAGCCACTTTTAGGGAAAAAAATACATTATTTATTGCTTTGTTAAACAGATTTTTAAATTCAGTAAATTCATTGTCACTTTGTAATTGCACAATTCCTCTCAGTATAGAACACCAAGCAAGCAAATTCTATTTTAGAACTTAGCTAAATCTAAGAATAAAAAGCTCTAATCACACTAGATACTCAGTTCTGGGAGATTGAGTTCTAAGTCCAACATGTCTTCCAAATGAAGCCCGTGCTGCTAACTAGGATCCCAACCCCTAAGCTACGATGCTCAGCTTCACTTTATGAGCTAGCTCTATTTTGAAAATATAAGAAATTTCAGCTAAGTAACAACTAGCACTCCCAAGTCTTAGGCTAGAACAACAGTAGGTAAATTGAGGAATTTTTTTTGGTAAAAACTTAATTTTTTTCCCCTACCTTTTGGGTTTTTTCCTTTGAGAACACCAAAACATCTTTCAGGGCTGTGTTGTTTGCACGCACGTTCTAATAAGAAAACACACAGCAGCAGCTTTTTTCCAGCCCAATTTTGAAAAAGAAAGTGAAATTCAGCAAGGATTTAGTGTACCAATTTTATCAAACAGATGGGTAAAAAAAAAGGCAGCAGCAAAGGTGAAATATTTCCATCACCCCCTGTATAGGAGATTAATGCTCTGTCTGTGACCAGGACAGAGTTACAGTCAGACGCCCGTCCGAGTAAGATGAACTGGAAGAGAAACACATTGTACAAAGCCTTGCTATTTGAAATGGAAATTTCCTGACCAGAGAGCACACCTGCTAGTGTCATGACAATTATCTGTTAAGGTTAAGGCACTGTCGCGGGTATGAAACGCAGAAGCTATCAGCTCAGAAGCGTTTTATCCGTGAAGACAGCAGACTCTAAACCAAATGGACATTTGTTGGTGTTGACAAAGACTCAAGATCGGAAAAGGTATGGAAGAATAATTGTCAATTAGGGAACCTAAGAAAGATTGTCGGGTGCAGAAAGAAAAGTTACAAGAGGGTTTTATTACACAAGCACGTAGACCTAAATTTTCTTTACATCAACTCTATGTTGGCATGCTTGTTTCAAAGCAAATCTTGGTAAAGCTGGAGCATGAGAAAGATGACTTTTTTCAGATGACTGCAGAACAGGTGATCTGAAATTCCTACTGCCATCCGCATACTCTAGATAACCCTGCAATACCGTTGCTGCTTGTGCTGCACCTTTTCAAAGCAGGGAAAGGCAACCCCCTCCCCCAGCATCTTTGATCCTGGTGCAGTTTGTTGCTTATTTCAGTCTCAACTCATTATGCAGAAGTACAAAAAAAATTTCTAATGAAATTGAATCTTTCTGCCAAAAGGATGAGTGATTTTCTGCATCAGCTCTAATTACTCTGACCATTTTACAAGGCAGTATCGCTCCAGTTTGATTGGATTTGAGGCTAACCACAAAGTATTGTGTCCTCAGAAGATTTATCTTTCCATCATAAAAGAATGCTTTAATTTTTTTCCAGTATGTTAGCGGTCATAACTAAATATCAAATTAGAGAGAAAGAGCTTCCTCCAATTGCATTAGCAAAAAAGACAGATAGATAACAGAAATATACCTTTGTTATTTTAACAACAGCTGCTATTTATGCCCTTTGACTAATACACTTCATTTAGTATTCCATAAATCAATGATTTGAAAATACGGCTCTTCAGCTAACAACATTAAGTCAAGGCTAAAGTACTGGTATCTTTAAACAGTGTTAAGAAATGAGACAACTCCCAGAAAAAGTAACTGCAGTTTAACCCAGGCTGCGGGACCGTGAGCTTGTAACTGTTCTCTGCAAAACAAATGAGAAATTTCCGTCCCAGTCTCCAAGTGCTCACATTCCCTTGCACTAGTAAGCTCTCTGCCTGAAAAGTTCAACCTTGCATGGCACCAGAAGAAAGGAGAGAAAATGCTGAAATTCTCCTTACGTACTCCATTAATCGTGTGCACAAAAAGAATGCGACGCAAAATTAACTGTGATCCTAACAGACTAGGTCCATCTCACTAGCATTGTATTCACTGCAGATTCTTGCAAATAGCTGAAGCAGTATACGGAAAGCTGATGAGACAAGCAGATACATGAATGCTTTATGAAGGGTTACTCATCTATTCCTCCGGCTCTTTTGTTAAGATAGTTTTACAGAAGCTTTTGCAGAATTAATGTATCACAAATACTTACGTTTGATGCTGGCCAGCCTACTTCTGGGCATTGAACAGTCTACAGCTGCTAAAAATAATAATAATAAAAAAAAGTAAGTGTGAGTGCTTTAGTATTTACTTAGTATTTATGGTGGCTAGAAAAGAGTAGTGACAAAATAACACAAAACAAAGACTAATTTAATTAGAACACAGCAAATTTTCTCTATTTTAAAATATTCTAGTTACTGTCTTTTTAA